GGAACAAGGGGTTTTTAGTCAGTAAGAGTCTGACTCTCCCTCTCGCCCGGCCCTGGGCGGGAGAAATCATTTGATGATTTTCCCCTCACAAAAAACGTGCCCTCTGATGAGGAAAGGCCTCGTCCCACTACTAGATTGAAGATGTGACGTAATATGTATATGGTGAAGTGAGACATCGTGAGGGACCTGGACTTATACCAACCATAAGTTTGAAATTCGGTGATGTCGTGGTGGCCCGGAGGATAAAGAGCCGGCTTCTCATGCATGAGGGTGTAGGTGCGAAACTCGGCAAGTACCAATGTGACTTTTTCAAAGTTATATGTACTTTCTATGGTTATTTAGACACCACTGTCATACGGTGAAGGTAAACATGTGATTAATGCTCAAACCTTCTCCGTGTGAGAAGAGGCCTCTGCTTAGCAGTAGGCACTTATAGGCTGATGATGATGATAATGATGATGAAGTTTGAAATTGGTAATCCACTTTATGATATTTAGAAGACATCTTTGCTCACCAGTGGGCACTTATAGGCCGATGATGATGATGATGAAGTTTGAAATTGCCAATCCACTTTATCCATGTGAGAAGACATCTTTGCTCACCAGTGGGTAGTTATAGGCTGATGATTTTGATGATGGAATCATCATCAATGATTACGAGAACACATAATATATGATCTACTTATAAGCTGATAATGATGATGAATGATCATCATCCAAGATTACGAGGACAGACATGATCTTCATGTGTTTATTTTTGAAATACCTCATGCGTGTATGTCGACATGTACTGGTAATTGAACTCGCTACCGATAAGGTCATTGGCGGTCACTCGAATGATCTAAACATAATGCATTGTGTGTCAAGTTTCTGAGAAATGCTAGTAAAGATGTACAAACAAACGTTTGGTCAAGCGTGAGTGTTTGATTAGTGGGTTCTGTACAAGAATTATTATTATTATTTAACACTTGGATGAGAGGTTCGGTTACTTGAGAGTTGTTCTTCGAAATTTTACCGTAACGTATATAATTTTAAGGTTTAATCTCTGAAAAGGTAGGTAGAGGGCAGACACACACTTGCAATGCATGCAAATATTACTGCGTAATTTTAGGGAATACAATCAAAATAATATACTTCAGAGGCGGCCCAATCCTTCCTCAACCCCTCCCTTCCCAATTATTTAATACCGTTAGGTGTCCTAAAAATGCCGCACTCGAAACTTCTTTGGTGTTAAGGGTGTTCATGGGTGGCGCAGATTAAAGTAAAGTAAAAAATAATTTATTTTCCACATTAATAAAAATACATAATAGCCATTTTTAACATGCAGTGGACTGGAGCCTAAACTAGGCTAACTGTTCCTTATTATACAAGACATGACACTTGAAAGTCATGTAAACTAAAAACTAATGGGTAAACAAAATTTCAGCTTAGACGGTTTACAAAATATTATTACAAAATATATTAACTTCAAAATACAGTTGCAGGATTCCTTTACAGAGAGATACCTTACTTGCATATGTACTTATATTTATAGATGGACGGAATATTCCTTATTGTACAACATCATAATAAAAAACTCAGGTATTTCAATGAAATATTTGAAAATGTAATTTTATGTTTACATTATTAATAAAAATAATAAAAACACAGTAAATAACACACAAAAGACTACATACAATAAAAGTTAATTTTTATTTTTGTTAGAGTCCTCATCCATAGCCTGTAACGTTAAAACAAATCAATTAAAAATTTTAAACAACTGAACAACTTCGAGAGATTTTCAAAAAAAGAACACACACATATGGTCCCGTTTTGGCAGACGCGTATCAAGCAACATTTTTGAACCTGCTACCTCTACATGTGGCAACACAAAGCCGTATAGCAAGATTCCTTTGCCGGTAAAAAAAAATCGACCCTTATTATTGATTTTTATTGTTTTTACTGACCTACTGGCATGGTAAACTTTATGAGTAATATTTATTTTTCATTTGATTTTTGTTTATTTATTTAGGATTGAAAGGATGAGTGAGTTTGTGAGTGTGTGGTCTAGTGGGATGGGTGCTTAAAAGTATTTTTTATGGAGACAGACAGACATCTGGAGAGACACAATTATGTTGCCGGCCTTTTAAGAATAAATCCATTCATGTACGGAAAAACTTGTCTTTAAGAAAACAACATTTTAAATAACATCGAATATACGGCCGCCGTGAAACTGGCTGCCGCGCAGCGTGTCGCCGGTTCGATTCCCGCAAGGAACAGCTCGGAAATGTGTGATCCACAAATTGTTGTTCCGGGTCTGGGTGTCTTGTGTATGGGAAATTGTATGTCTGTAAACGCACCCACGATACAGGAGAAAATACTAGTGTGGGGTATCGTTTAAAAAAAATAGCACCTACTTCACTGACGAACAGACTGACTACTATTCTATTTTGACGTTTCAAAAGTACCTATTTATGGTTTAGTTGGAATAATTGATTTTGACTTTGACTTTGTATAGTAAAATAAAGTAAAACTTATTCTACGGATTTCATCGTCTACCTAAGGAACCCTAAACTTTTTGACTAAACGATAACCGTCAAACCATTTCTAACCAAACATTGAATTAAACAATCAGTTATCTTTAACCGCGACAGCGAAACTGTTAAAACTATTGTAATCTAACGCTATCGCTGTTTGTGTTGGGTAAATACGTGTTATGTGTTTTGACGCAATTTTTCTGTTAGAGCTGTTAATGTGTTGTTAGGTAATGTTTGCTTTAGTTAAGTAAGATCGTAGGTCGACTGGTTAAATACTTCTTGTTATCGAAATGTTGGGTGGTTTTATTTGACCACCTTCAAATTTGTTTTGGTATTAAGACGTGATTGTTTTTTTAGAACAATATATTAACATAGGCCAAGCTAACTTACGTAGATAATCTTAATCATTATCGCTGGAAAAAAAATAATAAAAACGTTTTACCCGCGAAATTGTTTGTGTGAAATAGTGACTTGGTGCAGATTTTTTTAGTTTAAAAACTATCCTATATCCTTTCTCGAGTACCAAACTATGTCTGTACCAAATTTCACACAAATAGGTTCAATAGTTTAGGCGTGAAGAAAAGTCAGATAGACAGACAGAGTTACTTTCGCATTTATAATATTAGTTTGGATTACAAGATTAAAATTTTTGTACTATTAAAAATTACAGATTACCTGATGGTAAGCAATCAATGCCGTTCATCTAGTCATCATCGTTAAACTAGAGTGACGAGTTTTGCCAGTTTTTTGGGGATTCTTCTTCCTTCTTCTGTTCCGGACTTTGAACTCGTAACTTCGGCTGGATGAGCCTTGAACAAAAAACTGGTCTACTAATCAAATTTTGCTTCCGATTTAATATATGATGAAGCATTTCTATCAGATCGGGTCCTGCCTAACAATAGAGTTATATTTTTGGATAAGTGACTTTAAGCTAAACAAAAGTGGCTATAATATTTAATTATTAAAAAAATACATGGTGTTACTCCTTTGACTCGACTAGTTGCAAACCATGCTAGAACGCCGGGCCTCTAGCATGACTTGAAACTAGTCGAGTATCTCATCAAACAATTACGTGAGTAAGCCGAAAACATAATAATTTAGTATATGTCTCACGACAGTTACCTATAATAAAAATACTCCTTTGTTGTTGCGACTGCCCATAGGTGGCGCTGATTGCTTGCCATCAGGGAATCCGTAAGCTCATTTGACATCCTTACACGTCAAAAAGAAAACTTACTTTCCGTATTAAGGACTTGGTAAATGAAAAACCGCAACGAGTTAAAAACAAAGGCACGACGATATCCAGACAGTCTGTCTCTTAAATCTGAAGCAGGTAATAAAATGTGAATCGCAAGAGCACTGTATCGAAGTTCCCCATAAACGGGATCCCGTTGCGTTCGGAGTACCTCGTAACCCCTTAGGCAAGAGCTAGTTTTCACAAACTTGTTCTTAGACTGAAATAGGACATTCAAATATCCTGAGACATTCCGCTTAGTCAGCTGGCATGCCCACTGTGGGAGGGAGGGCATAGAGTAAGTTGAAAACAGAGGGTACAATCTTTGTTGGGTGTTTTCATTAACAACTGCGTTAGAGGTTATGTTTTTATTATTCAAATTAATCGTGATAAACTTGTTGTTTTTATAAAAAATACCTACATATTTTTTTAGCATTTAATTAAAAAAATAAGAATTTTATGAATTATTTTTCCTGTATGTATGTATGTATGTTATACCTATTGGGGTTTTTTTACAAACTTGACATGTAATAGAAGGCAGTGCTTGTGCAGCTTAAAAAAATGTTAGATGAGAAACATGCAATCACAAAGAGGAGTCGATGGCTAAAATTAAAAATTTAAGTAGCATTAATTAATTTTGGGTAAGACAGCTAAATGAAAAACAACGTAGCTACATCACTGACAGTTATACAGCCTTGTCAAAAATCAATTGCATTTAGATAGATAAGTAGTCGGTAAATTAAACTAGATATGGCACGGTGAATATTTAAACAGTGACTTCAATTAAGGAATACATTTTGTTTTGGGGTTGTACGAATAAAATATACAAACATATCTTGGTAGAGTAAACGTCAGTTGTGTTAATATCTCATTATTAAGACTAGCTGCTTCTGTCAGTAGTTTTACCTGTGATATCCGCTAGAAAAGCCTATTAGCTAATCCAAATTACTTATAATATATTTCTCAGTGCCAAGTTTAATCAAAATATATTTAGTAGTTTTTGCATTAGGCATACAAATTTATTCTCTTCAATCCTATAAAAATAATCTGTTATGCTACAAACATTTAATTAGCAGCAATCTAATTTTATAGGTTGAACTCAATCTACAATGACTCATCGATTTTCGATAGAAACATAAAAAACAGCTTAAAAATATAATGAAAATTAAGTACCCATACTAAACCTACACGTCGCATCTGCCACTTAAAACAAATCTGTGTCAAGACAGAGACGGTGCAGTGCGAAGGTGACCGAAATAGATTGCGCTGCGCACGCGCACGGCTCGCACCGCACTCCTGCGCCGCGCCGTTCAAAACAAGGATCCATGGATCATTCTCCTAAGAATTTTATAAGTGCTCCGATCATCTGAGATGGATTAGTGATTTTTTTTGAAAGTGAATGAATTTTTATTAATTTTTTTTGGTTGACTATTCAGTGATAATGAGGTTGTGTTTTGCTGTGTGTCTGTTCGTCTGTGTGACCTTGTGTCCAGATGTACATGGTAAGTTAGTAAAAAATCCGAAATTTTGATTTTGATATTAATTAATTTTTTTTTTTTGAATGTGGGCATCGAGTGGGCGGCATGCAGAAACTGCTTTAAGGAGTTCTTTGATTTTTTTTATTTCACGCTCATTTTATTTTAAGATATAAGTATTTTTAAAATATTATTTTTAGTATTATAGATTTTTACCAGTTTTGATACTAAAGTATTTTGATGAAAAGACAGAAGTTCTTTCTGTAATATTATCAAATTATAGAAGAAAAAATAAAACAAAGTATTAATTAAGTATTTTTATGAAAAGTCAAAATTTGAGTTGTCGTGGTTGTGAAGTCATGTTTTTTTGGCTTTAAATAGCATACTGTTAAATAATATTAATATTTTTTGAAAATTAACTACAAAATTACAAATATTAAGTATATCGTAAAATTAACGAATTGAATTTTTTTTTAATATTTAATTACATAAAATTGCAATAATTTTTTTAATTGTAACTGTCGTGAGACGTACTATGTTCATTGAAAATAATGACTTACTTTATTTTTTATGTCAAAGTAAAGTATTATATTTATTTGCATATAATAGATTTAAGTTCATAACAAGTCATCTGAATAACGATTAGGAATGCACCTTACGACGATCTAATAGATACCATGTGTAGAATTTCATTGATATATCGTAAGAAGATGCCTTTGAGCTCCTGTTGCTATTCATTAAGAAATTATTATCTTAAGGTTACTTCATGCTATCTTCTTAATATAGCAGACCTTATAAGGCGAGGTCTTATAAAGCGTGTGATATTGGCCACCATTCTTACTCTTGCTTTTGAGCCTGGAATATCATGTCAAAATATTATTTGACTCTAGTATTTTTTTATGTTAAAGCAATCAGCGCCGTCCCTGGACAGTTACAATTTTGGAGTAGTTTCAATTGGGTTTCATGCTTTCGGGGGTTAATTAGTTAGATTAGGGATTTGGCGATTGGTGATAGGAGGGGAGGATTGGGTCTCTGGTAATGTCACTCTTAGAACGAAGCACTACGGAAGTGTTATTTATTGGTTTTCTGTAAGGCACTGGTATCATTATAATTGAGTTATATGTACTTTCTATGATTATTTAGACACCACTGATATACGGTGAAGGTAAACATCGTGAGGAAACCTGGACTTATAATTTATAATTATAAGTTTGAAATCGCCAACCAGCATTGAGCAAGCGTGGTGATTAATGCTCTAACCTTCTCCGTATGAGAAGAGGCCTTTGCTCAGCAGTGGGGACATATAGGCATATGATGATGTTGATGATGACTGGTATAATTTCGAATGAGCTTAAACATGGCTCTTCTTCACTTAAAAATGCCTTTATCCCCTTGCAACAAAGTAACTTTAAAAAATCTGAAAAAGAATCACATTGTCAATCACCAAATAAATATGTAACTTCCTCTCTCATCAAAATTAAGTGTGTACACACATTATAAATCACAGAGGTACACTAGAGTCAGACTCTTGATGACTAACACCCCGTATCTTCTCCTACTCCAGGCCGGGGTCACGGTACATCATTGCTCTTGCAAGCACTACCCTACCAGGCCAAAATGCTTAGCTCTTATAAACAATACTTACATAAGCAAGGAGGAGCAACTTAAATTGCATCTCTGTTCATAACTGATTTATCACAGTGCCTCATACAATAACATTCCATAAATTATACCCATTAGATCATAACAGTTTTTAAATCAAACACTTGCATGTCATACAAATTGCTTAATTAAATGAAGTATGGTAGTTTAACGATCTTATAACACATCGCATTTTATATTTGAGTGGCTGTCTACACCATTATTGCATTCTCATACGGTGTTTTTTTTTTTGTAATAGGTCGGCAAAATAGCAGACGGATTACCTGATGGTAAGCAATTAGCGCCGCCCATGGACACCCGCAACGGAGGAGTTACGAGTGCGTTGCTGACCTTTTAAAGGTGATGGTTTTGGAGATTTAGGGATTGGGAGGGATCGGGGGAGGGGAAGGATTGGGTCTCCAGTAACCTCACTCACACGGCGAAACACGCTGTGGTTGTTTCCCGCCAATGTCTGTGAGGCCGTGGTATCACTCCGGTTGAGCCGACCCATTCGTGCCGAAGGTTGGCTCTCCTTCACTTGACCACACACAGTTAAAATATTTCATTATATGTTATAATTATTTTAATAACCTTTCTATAGGCTTTTTAGGCTCGAATCAATAAACTACCTATCATCATCATCAGCGTATATCTCTTCTCACACGGAGAAGGTTTGTGCGTTAATCAACACGCTTGCTCAATGCGATTTCAAACTTAATTACCCTTACTAGTCCAGGTATCCTCGCGATGTTTTCCTTCATCGTATGCCAGTAGTGTCTAAATAATCGTCAGTATAACTCAGATAAAATCACATTGGTACTTGCCAGGTTTTGAAACGGCACCCTCATGTATGAGAAGCGGACCTTATCACCTTTTTTTGTGACGGCAATATCATCAAATGACTTCTCCCGCCCAGGGTAAGGTGGGAGAGAGTGTCAGACTCTTACTGACTAAGCCCCGTTCCTTTATCCTGCTCTAGGCCGCGGTACGGCAGATGTCCAGCCCTATATATAGCTCCGTCTGTGAAAGTCAAAGACTCAATACTCCACTATTGGCTCTTTGAGGCTCTTTGTCTTAAGTAGAAATAATACATTTACTTTTTGCGGAATAATTATGATGTTGTCGCGTCAGAATGTTTGTATAAGACAGTGACAGCAACAATTTTAATCCTCTAATAATATTTATCTGACTATTGAAAAATCAGCGTTTAGTAGTTTAGTTTTTAGTGCTGGGCGACTTGTATGCCTAGCTTACACTGAGTGGGTAACCCATTTAGCATGGGCATGTTGTAGCGTCTATTTTCTGTTTCATCTGTTTTAATCTTTAACTCATGTTTGTCTTACTTCTGCTGTCACACTTTTATTGTCTTTTTATATGCTGCATTGTGTCTGGTGCTGAATAAATGTCTTTTCTTTCTTTCTTAGTACTTAGATAAAATAATTAAGATACTAAACAATCCAAATTAAGAAAACGAAAGCGTCCTTTTACGAAATATATTTAACAAAAATAACACTATAATTCTTTCCCAGTTAACTGGTTACATCAGTAATAGAATAAAAATAAAAGTTGTAATAAATCTTAAAAGCCGTTTAACAAAAGTGGTTCAAGTAGGAGATGATGGGATCGGTTGAGATGGGATGCTGTGTCGATTAACTGATTGCTGTGCTTACGTTATAAGCTTTGATTGACTTTATAATGGGTTCGATACATTTTGATGTATGACGTGTTTATTGGTTGTTGAAGTTCTTTTTTTATTGGTTTAGTGAGTTCTTTAAGTAGTTTTCTAGGGCTGGTTCGAAAAAAGGTCTGGTATTTTTTTATATACACCTTTCTTAAGACTTGCGAGTCTTCTTTGCTTTTGGTGTTGAACTATCTAAAGAATTATTAACGATGAGAGTGTCGCTATTTTTATAATATTTTCTACACCTTACTAAAAAAAACGAATCAGTAAAAAATTGTCTAGATGTTGTTGAGTTATGCGTTTACAAACACATTTTGTGAATAATTTTTATATTACTTATTTTTTTACGAAATATATTCGAGAGGATAATTTATTAGTGGAAAAAAATTATAAATTAACTATGTAGCTTTGTCCGCTAACTTTAATGAATTAATAAAATTTTATTTGTTAGTGCAAATCATCAAATTATATCTCTCGCCCAGGGTATCTCTCGAGAAAGAATGTCACACTCTTTCTGACTAAAAACCATCCCGTTCCTTCTCCTAATTCTGTCCACGGCAGAGCCGCCTTACTGCGCTTGCCCCAGAAACTCACATGATCTTTGATCTTTTTTCTCACACTCTTTTCGCCCCGTCCAGGGCGAGACATGGCAAGATGACTTCCGCACTCAAAAGAAACCTTAGTAAAAAGGTTTTATATTATGTAACATAACAAAAATAACATCTGATTAAGTAGGTACTATATCCATCTAATTTATATGACAATAGCACACGGATCTACTTCCATTCAAGAGTGCTAATTATATAAAAAAAGTGTCAATTAGGTGACTCTTGTGGTTTTGTAAGTGTGTTAATGAAATCATTAAATAATTTCAGTATAGATGTAGTACCTACATCATTAGATTCTTGCTCGTTCTTCTTCTAAGGATTATCTGATTCTGTTTTAAAAGTACCTAACTAAGTAAATAGAGAACAGAGTGAGAGTGAGAGAATGGATGATGATGCCGGCTTCATCTAGTTTTTCTATACTAATATTATAAAGAGGTAAAATTTGTAAGTTTGCATGTAGGGGGTAATCTTTGGAACCGCTGGTCAGATTGTCAAAAATCTTTCACTGATAGAAGCTACAATGTTCTTGAGTGCTATAGGCAATAAAACATTACGCTACGATAAAATGGAGCCGAGCAGCGGGTGAAATCGCACGACAATAGCTTACGGAATATTTTATTGTATTGAATAGTAAAGTTGAGTTCAGTAACATTAGGTTTTAATTAAAACAAGTGATATCAGAGAATATTTTAGAAATACCTAGGCAGAATAAGTACTTTGTAGTATAGGTCGGAAAACGAGTAAACAGATCCTGATGGTAAGCAACCAGCGCCACCCATGAACACCGGGCAACACCAGATGAATTACAAGTTGCCGGCTAATTAGAGTTAAGCTTTCAAAGATTAGGGGAATTAGATGATTGGGGTTATGGGAGGAGGAGGGAATGGATTAGACCGCAGGTTAACTACATTCACACAACGAACCACAATACAAGCGTTGGTTCACGTCGGTTTTCTGTGAGACCGTCTTTCTAAGAGGAATTTCCTCGGCACATGTTTATATCTTGGGATAATCGTCGCGTGATTGAAAATCGACATATTATTATACCCATTGCTTCATTACCTATACACAAGAGCTAAGCTTTGATCAACTATATA